CCAGGGAATCCTTTCTGTGCTGCATGGCCCGTGCACGCCTCTCTCCCTCCACCTGTCCTTGGATCACCAGCTGCCTAAAGAAGCATTGCTTTTCTTTTGATGCATCCATTCCTTCCAACAACACAGAGCCAGGTCTGGCTCTGGCCTGTGAGCTGCTTCATCTCGTTAAGGTAACTGCCCGTCTCTAACACCTCCACTGATTCGGGTGTTCAACTCTGAGCAGCAACCTTATTTTTAATTTCTTGGAAGCCGCCTCCTCTACGGCTTCCGAGTACCATCCATGGTTCCTAATTAATCAAACTAACATCATTGTCACCTCTGCCTCCCCCTAGACCATCTCAATACCAGACAATTGTTCTGAGAAACAAAAGTCTTCTTCCATTAAGGTAAAGTTGTGTGTGGGGCGGAAGCTGGCTTCGAGGATGTATGCATACTCAGGCAAATTGTCTGGTTATGTAAAACTGCATCCTTTCTGTGTAATGATTGATGCCAGGGCACCGACTGTCTTAGAACTTCATTGAAGAGACATCTAGTGGGGCTGAGGCAGAAAAGTGTCACTCTGAATTCTGCATCCCGAGGGCTGGAAGATTCAGTGTCAAGAGGGACCTCTAGTGTTCTGCGAAAATTCGACTCAACAAGGCGGAAGATTCTTTCGATGCCGTGTCCTATTTTCCATTTGTCAAACAATAGTGTACTTTTATTCACAGTTTGCCATTTTAGCTATAAAATAAAGAGGTGTAGACTATTCAGGATTTCTGTCTAGGTATTCTTCAGTTGATGAATTTAAATAACCCCTTTGTACAGGAAATATTTCTTTGGATCGCCAGGATACGCTCTCTCCATCCACCCCTAAGGACTCCAGGCTTCACTCACTGAGCACTTAGCACTCTGCCCGGGTCCAGCACTGGCCGCGCACTGCTTCTTTAAAGCAGTATTAACAGCACTATTATTTTCTGGCCTGTTTGTCAGATGAAGAATCTGAGACTGAAGGAGGTTAGGTAACCATGTTTAGGTAACATTAGGTGGCAAGGCCTGGCCTTGATCTCACATCTCTGTGATTCCAAAGCCTGTATTCTTTCTTTTTTTTTAATCTAAAAGTTTTTCTTAAATAGCTTTATTGAGATATAATCCACATACCATGTAATTCACCCATTTAAAGTGTGCAATTCAATGAACTTTATTACATTTAGAGTTGTGTAACCATTGCCATAATCACTTTTAGAATATTTTCATCACTCCAAAAAGAAACCCCGTGCCCCTTGGCTGTCACTCCCTAAGGCAATCAGTTTTTTAAAAACCCCTTTATTGAGGTATGATTGATATGTAAAAAACTGTACACATTTAATGTATACAACTTGATGAATTTGGGCATAAGTGTACACACGTCCAACCATCACCACCACCCAGGCTATTAACACATCCATCACCTCCCAAACTTTCCTCCTGCCCCATTATTATTATTATGACCATTATCATTATTAGTGTGGTGATAAACTTAACATAAGATTTCCCCTCTTAGCCGATTTTGAGTGTCCATGCCGCGCTGTGGCTCTAGGCGCTATGCCATGCAGCAGATCTCCAGAACTTATTCACTGAGCAAATCGAAACCTTTGTGCACTTTGGCCGTCAGCGCCCCCATCCCCCTCCCCCAGCCCAGGCAACCACCAGTGTGTGCTCTGCTTCTATGAGTCAGACGGTTTTATAGCCCACGTGTAGGTAGGATCACAACAGTATTTGTCCTTCTCTGTCTGGTCAAAGCTTATACTCTTAACCATTGCACTCTTCAGGATAAATCTGAAGTGGCTAAAGGTCACCTTTCTCTTACTCCCTCTTTTTCCTTCCTTCCTTCCTTCATTCTTTCCTCCTTCCTTCCTTCCCTCCTTTCATCCCTTCATCCCTTCTTTCCCTTCTTCCAGCCTTCTCTTTATTCTCCTAAGCTGGCAAATGCATCCATTTTCCATCAGAAGCTTGGTGACATTTGCAATGGAGTGGATTTGTTTTTTTCAGGGTTGTGCTTATAATGTCATTTTTTGACAGCCCCTGGGAATTGCATGTTTTGTCCTGACACTGCTAAGTACTCTCCCACGTGAAAGCAAAGCAGATCCTTCACGTGTCACTGCTTGGTAATGGCTTTTCTTGGTGATGCCCAATCCAGAAAACTGATGCTATTTCATTCTCCTGATGACAACTGTTATTTGGCTTTGTCCAGCTCTTAAATTATCCTGTCTTAGAGTCTCCACTTCAGCTGAAGAGGTGAATCTGTTTTAAAAAACAGAGACTTTTTGCTGAAACCGAGGCATCAAGGTTGAGCGAGTCATTTGTTAGAAGCTGAGCATTCAAAGCCTTTTATCTTATTACAGTGCCTGGAAACTCATGGCTCCTCCAACCGTGAACAGTTGCCTTTTTCTTTTTTTGGTTTTGAACTAGACCTAGGAGGAAATTTTCAGGGCTTTCAGGAAATAATATAGGATTAGGTCACACGTGGGAGGGTTGTGGACAGGGTAGTTGATCTACACAGATCCGTGCAGACCATGCTCCTCCTGCGCAAGCAGGTCTTCTGTCTGCCCAGCATCTTTTTGCTGGGAAATTGCCCTCCCATGTCTGGCCATCTGTCATTCACACGGTAATTATCCATGAGAGTTGGGACATTTGAGCCAGACTGCAGAATCACACCCCATTCTCCCCAATATAGTGATGTGCCCTGTGGTGGGCATCTAAGTCAAGCAGAGCCATTCAGAGTTGTTTTAGGGGCATTGATGCGGGGCTGGCAGAGAGAGGGGCCTTCTGACTACAAGAGCAAAGGACCATATGAGTCTGAAGCTGCTGAGGTGATCTGTGCTGCCAAGTGGGGAAAACTTGCTTGAGGAGGAGGAAGGCAGAGCCTGAAGGTGGAGATGGGGCAATTGCATCTTAAAAAACATAATCCTATGTCCTAGATCCAGCCATGCCTGAACGCAGAAACTCCTCCTCCTCTACTTTGCAATTAGGAGAACCAATATGAGAACCGTTTGGCTCAAGCTAATTTGAGTTGGATATTTGTCATTGAAACTGAAAGTGTCCTGACTAATACAACAACATATACAGAAATTTCTGGTCAAACAAACAGGAAGTGAAGAAATAGGATTCATTGACCCACCATATTGGTACTACTCCAGGGGGATCTCCTGGGGGCCAGCAAATGGTTTCCTGGCGTCAACTGTGAACGAATCAAGACTCCTCTTCATTCTTACTTTTCTGCCAACACCAAATCCTCATGAGGTAACTGAAAATTGCCTACTCAGTCTTCTGATTCTTTTCCATCCACTGGGTGTGGGCCATGTCTATATAACTAAGGACATAGTTATCCTGGCCACAATTTTTTACAAAAGTAAATATTAACGATACTTAATTCTTCAAAGTTGAGTTGCACTGCATGCCTCTCAAGTTATTCAGCAACAAGAACATCTTTTATTTTTTTCTATGTGAAAGATTTTGCTTACTAAAACATCACACTAAATAATTATGGGTTTGTTTTTGCTATATGGAATAGATCAATACATAAAAAATAATCAGTAAGAACATCTTGTTGTTTGCTAAAACCAGCATTTCTACACCAAAGTAATGCAATTCCTGCTATGAATAGCAATCTTGAGTGTAGTGTTATGGTGTCTGTTAGGATTTTTGCATTATTGCATATATTGTAAATACGTCATAAATATCGCACATGAAAAATGCGCATCCATACCTATATATCTATGTATCTATCTTTACCCTTTGAGACTCCTAATTGGGAACAACTGGCCTATGAAATTGTGGCATTGTGTTATGTGTGAGGAAGATGCAACAGCATGGGCCCTGTCCTTGTGGAATTCATGGTTTCATTCATTTCATCACCAAAAGCTTATTGACTACTTATGAGCAGAATTCCTTGAGATACAAAGTTAAAGGAGATATGGGCTCTGCTCTCAAGAAATTTACGTCTTGATTGACAAGAAATGCAATAATGCAACTCTCAGGCCAGTAAACTCTGTAATAGATGTATGTGTATCTTACACATCAGACTAACTAGGATTCCGTGGAAACACTGCCATAGCCCCGGGCCAACCTGCTGCTCTCAGTGCCTCCTAGCGCCTGTGACAGTGAAGGTAAGCTGATGCTACACAACCACACAGCAGTCACCATCACACAGCTGCGACATGACTGACATGCGTGATGGACCTGTGGAGAAGGCAGCAGGATGGCGCTGGTGTGCCCTAAGAACCAGGATGTCACATGCAGGAGGCATGGGTTGTTACAGGCTGTTTATTGGGCCACATAAATTATTTATGTTGGATTTTTGGGGTGACGTGGTTGGGGTTATACGAGGGTTGGTAGGGCCCCATTTAAGACTCACCATGACCTTGTGGGGCCTCACCATGGAGAGGTAAACAGCAACACCACCAGCCTGAGTGAGTCTCCCCTCAGTTACAAGGGACACTGAGAAGTCATGTCCTCCGAGTCCCTCCGTGTTCTTGTATTTCCAGCTTGGCCCTGCGGAGAAGGCACCCCTTTGGTTATCGCATCCCATTCTCACTTCCATGAGATGTGTGGGTGAGAGGTCCATTCCACCAAGCCCCTTACCCTGTCATCTGCAGGATTATTTCCAGCACAAGGAGGGACCCTCACTTCATCCTGGGGAGGGATAGGGAAGCCTTCCTGGAAGACATGAGGGTTATGCTAACTTTGGAAGTAGATTTAGAAAGGCAGAGGGAGAAGAATGGATGGTCCTGGCAGGGAAGCATCGGGTCCAGGAGTGTGGAAGAGCAGCGGGCTTTTTGAGCAAAAGGAGCAACAGGCACAGCAAAAAAGTATTTGGAGAATTAGACCTAAGGCTGCATCTTGGCATATATGGAGAGATGCTGAAGGATTTACATCAAAGGAATAAGGTCAGAGCTGTGTTTAAAAGGCCACTGTGACATCAGTGTGGAGGAAGGAGTGGGTGTTTGTGTGTGTGTGTGTGTGTGTGTGTGTGTGTGTTGGGAGTGGGCTGGGAACATCAGTGAAAACATTGTAAAGACACGGACAAGAGTGGTCACATGGTCAGACGAGTGGCAACGATGCCTGATCGAAGGGACTGGCACTGATGAAGACGAGATCTGGAGGGAAATCACAGGAAGTGGATCTAGCGTTCTGGGTCCTGAGAGGTCTGAGATAGAGCGAAGGCGCCTTTTCCAGAAGTGTGCTGTGGAATCAGTTTCTCTGGATGGCGTTCAAGAAGAATTCAGACACTTATCAAAGACCTGAAGGAAGACTTTGCTCAAGAGAAGCTACTGCGCTGGGGGTTCTGCAGGGGGAGGAGCTCGACTCCACGTACAGAGGAAAAGCAGAAACTGATAGCCAGGGAGCGGGCTGCGGGCGGTGCAGGGAAAACGACTCCGAGGAAACCTCCAGGCTGGGGCAGTGGCTAAAGCAACGTGACAGGGTTCTGACTGAGGGCAGGCCGGGGGCAGACGGGAGGGCCTCGATCAGATCTCGAGGGCGGGAGAGTTTGCTACACAGACACAGCAGGATTCTTGCTCAAACTGGACTGAAGCGGGCTGAGCACAGAGCTGAGGCCCGGGCCTCGTCAGAGAGAGGACTCGGAGGAGCCCGACACAAGTTTGGTCAAAGGGGAGAGTGTGTCAATGGTAATAAGTAAAATGACTGCGAGAGAGCCCGCAGAGTCCTCGTGGTCCCCAGGGCCCCAACCTCACCTGCTGGCCGGGTCAGCCGGGGTCAAGTCCTGCCTCTCCACCCCCTTGTGACCTCACAGAGGTGACCCTGGAGGCCAGCTGGGAGGGGCAGAAAGAGGGGTCACTCAGTTCTCGAGTAGCTGTCATGTGGGCCTCTGACAGAGCAGGTCAGGAGAGAGCAGGCGGTTACAGCAGGTCACAAGGATGAAGACTCCGGGCAGGACCGGAGGAGGAAAGCAGCGAGGTGCATGTGGGAGAGCAATTCTCCACAACCGTCTGCGAGAGACTGTGGTTGGACAATTTGATGCACGGTTTCTCTCAGGACTTCCTGATAATTCTGCCCTCACACGTGTAGAAATCCCAAGAGAACGAAGGCCCTCCCTCAGCCATCTGAGATTGCAGCCAGGTACCTGAAGAGGGCTTCTCGAATCTTTACCAGCCACTGACTTCAAAGGGCGTCCTGGCTGGAGGAGAAGGGTGGACGAGACAAGGAGACCGGCTCCCCCTGAAGTCAGGCCTGTGTCAAGATCCCGCAAACTTTCCCGCCTGCAGATTCATTCCTCTTTCCACCGCTACCCTGAGGCTCATAGGAGAATGTTCTCCACGTAAAGAAGGAAATCATGCTCTGGCAGCCGGATCCTGAGCGATCGTTCTGAGGGAGAAGTGTTTTTCTAGCTGTAAAGGCAGTATTTGAATTTCACCAGCTGCTTCCTAATGACCGTTAGAATATTCTGGTGATGCCACCAGCTGCAGGACGGTTATGGATGTGGCCTAATCTTTCGTTAATCAGGGAGAGTTTTGTATCTGGGGAGATGACACTTATTTGACGTAATCCGCATGTCTTCTCTCTGGGTGTTCCCAATTCCTCCAGCCTTACTGATCACCCCAACCATCAGTAATCAAATAAAAGTGGCTTGAGACCCCATCACACACAGGTAAAGGGGAACCCAGCATACCTCTCTGACCGACCGCTCTCTATGGAAATGTGGTGGGGTAACTCTTCCCGACTTTCTGCTTCTACTAAATTCTCAGTCTCTCGTCTATCTGCCTCATGTGGTTTTCCTTTTCTCAAACTCACTCCCCGCTGCTTTCTCCTCTGATGCCACCACAGAAAGTATCCGTGTGTAGCCCATTTTTACAAACAGAGAAAATTCGCATGGCTGCAGAGCATAGCAAATTCTTTAAAGCTAAATAGGGGGTGTCTCCATGGACTCCAAGTTGAGACATCCCCAGCTCTTCCCAGCAGGGTGAGACTTTCTCTTGAGCTCTCATCTCCTGGGCCTCCAGACTCTGCTTCCTGGGCCCTCTCTCTCCTGCCTCTGTCTTCACCTACCTATTTCTTCTGCCAGCTTATCCTGTCCCCACCATCTTAGTCTGTCCTTGGAAACTTCGTTTTTCCTTGTATTATTATGCAGAGAAATATGCTTTCCTTTGGCTTGCTGATCTTCTGAACAACATATAAGAGCCTACTCTTTCACGACCAAATGGCTCTTCAAGGCATTTTGCTAAACAAAAGACACTTCCTACTTAAAAGAAATTTCATCAACAGCTTTTAAAATAAAATTTTATTATTTCCTTGCTATGTTTAAGTCTGTGTCGTATCCAGATTTTAGTAACGAGCTTATCAGCATTACTTTTATAGTATTGCCAAAATAAGGCGATGTTTTGAAAATCTCTGAGTAAGGAGACATAAGACTCAATACGGCCGTATTTTAAATTCGTGTTTTTTTAAATCTTCTTTGGTAATTCCTGCATATTGCCTCCTGAGGAAGAGACCTTTCCCATGAACAGCCTCATCACCTCTCCTTCAGATTTCTTTTTGTAAGACAAACAAACATCCATTTCCTGGATACTGTGAGTTAGCTGGTGACGGATATTAAAATAACAGACCTGAGGTTACATCTGATATGTGCAATAAAGTAAAGAGTTGGGAAAGAGGAGAAATGCTCGCTTACTTGCTTATCTTCCTTGTTACAACCAGAAATTCACACGTGGAAACAAAACCCAGCAGCGCAGTCCAGGACCAAGCTATTTGTGGCTTTCCGTCGTAAAGTCTCCTCTTGGTGCCCCGTGACATCTCAAGACTGTGAAGCTCTTCTTTCCATCTTACTCGGGAGGTGAGAGTTGGCCCATCTCCAGGGCTTTAGTGTTGATGGCAATTCCGTAAGTATTTGAAAGTAGTTTGCACTTTCTGTCTGATCATTTAACCCTGCCTCACGTCACATCTCTGAGAATGTCTTTTTCTCGTTTGCAAAGTGTGCTCAGAAATTCCGGATCAGTTTTGGTACAGAGGCCTATGGCACGGAAGCCTCCCACTGGGAACACTTCCAGCCTTCCAGAGCATGATCCCAGAGTGACTTTATGGGGTTGGGAACCAGGCATGTCAGCTCCATCACTACGCATCAGCTGGCGTGTGAGCTTCAGGATCACTACCTGACTTCGTGGAGTGACAGCATCTGGTGGGAGGGGCGCCTCCAGTGGCCTCTAGCCTGCTGTCCTGCCCTCCACCGTGGGGCTGTACCTAAGGCATACAGCTGCTCAGCATTACATTTCTTATCTAGATGTCTGCTGATTTTACCAGCTGTGGCTACCAAACAGAGTCATGTAAATATGGTAACATTTTAAAGTCTCCACGATGTCTCCATCTGCATCAGTAGGAACTCAGCATCCTTGAAACGGCCCCTTTTCATCTCCACAAGTTTCCCATGAGGGTTTTATAGGTGCCACAGGGACTCCTACATCTTTCTCTCTCTTATTCCAGCTCCCTCTCTTCTCATCATGTATATATCAGCTGCTTTATGGTAATAAAAAGAGTAAACATAGGGCCAGCCCTGTGGCCTAGTGGTTAAGTTCTGTGCACTCCACTTCAGTGGCCTGGGTTCCATTCCCACACACGGACCTACATGGCTTATGGGCAGCCATGCTGTGGCAGTGACCCACATACAAAATAGAGGAGGACTGGCAGAAATGTTAGCTCAGGGACAATCTTCCTCAACAACAACAATAACAGTAAACATAGCAGAATCCCTACTATGTGCTAGAAAGTATTCCATAGGCCATGCCCATATTATGTCATTTAATGCTTGCAGCTGTACTATGAGGTGGGTTCTGTTCTCATCCCCGTGACACAGACGGGGAAACTGAGGTCCAGAGAAGAGCCAGCAGGAAAGCAGTAGCACCCAGAGTCCTTACCTTTAACACCTTTGCTGTGTGCATGTCGGCATCATGTTAGGTGTTGACTGTAAACTCTCCGTGTGAGAACACGGGCCTTGACACCGTCAGACCTGGAATGGATCCCAGCTCAGCCGCTTACCGTATAACTTGGGTGACTTACTTCCCTTGCCTGGCCTTCGGCGTCCTCATCTGTAAATGAGGGTGATGTTAGCACTTTCCTCACCAGAGTGTTATGGGTATGAAATAGAAGAGTGAACGCCACAATGTGGACTGGGGGGCCTTGCATGTTGTAAGTGTGTGGTGAATGTCAGCTCTGAATATAATAGCAGTAATCCCTTTTTGTAGATCAGCAAACTGAGGCTTGGAGAAGTGAAAAACCTGCCCAAGGATAAACTGCTTTCAAGAGGCAGAGGCTAGTTTTGAAACTTGGCTCTGCGACACCAGTCTGTACTCTTTCCAGCTGTCCGTATCCAGCCAACCAGTCCCGCCGCCCATGAGCTGCCCGATGCTGAAGATCACGTGGAAGGTGCTACGTGGGATGTGGTTTTGATCAAGAAACAGTCCTGCCCTGATCTCAAACACAATCACTGTGATAAGAGCCACGTGTGAGAAGGTCCAAGTTAGTGGACTCAATGGCGTGTGACCGGAGTGCTAAGCAGAGCGGGGCCGTGTGACTGTGAGCTCAGATCGTTTCTGGCTAGTCTCAAACCTTTGGCCGAGTGCCTCAATCTTCATTTCACCTCTTGCTGCGGAACTCATTTTTTTTTTTTAAGCCCAAGAGTCCAACCTCAGTCATCTCCTAAGATCACGTAATGAGGCCATCTCACAGGGCAGGCTGTGGTCACACCACAGTTGATTTGTTGCTGTAATGAAAGCCACATGCTTCGTGGTATTTTTGGGCTCGTTAATATCAGCAGGTCAGAGCATTTTTATTTAGATATTGCTATTCCAGCTGTGCTTCCTCTACTTACTTCAAGAAAATTCAGAATTTCCACCGAACCATAGGCTTTCAGGAAAGTGGAAAGTCGAAAGTTAACGACCAGCACTTTCCACCCCCGCGCCTTGGGTCTACTGGTTTCCATACGGGCTTTGTATTGGTCTCCTTGAGTCTTTATGAAAGGAAAGACGTGGCTGACCCAGGGGCTTGCTCTCAAAGGACGATGGAACCAATAACAAGCGGGGAGACATGATGAGGAGTGACTGCAGTTTGGCCTGGAGGCAAGAGAGGAGAGGAGAGAAGAGGGGAGAGGCTGGAAAAGGGGTGTCCAGCCACCTTGCTGATCTTGCTGGGATTTATTGGCATGGTGTGATTTTTTTGTTGTTTGTTTGTTTTTATTGTCTCGAGAAAGGGAGGCTCATTCCATTTCATTCTCGAGTTCTCTTTGGAGTCGCTTGAATCTCCAAATTGGCTTCTTTCAGAGAGAGTTTTCTATTTCTTGGGAAAGGACCTCAAATTACTTTCCCAATTAAGTTGTACCTCTCCTTCCCCAGCCAACATTAAATACCCAACCCCACTTCTCTCTCCCGCCAGAGAAACTGAGGCAGGACTTTGACTTTGAATGTAAAGATGTCATTAAGAGTAGTCATCTTGGGGCCGGCCTGGAGATGCAGTGAAGATTACACACTCCGCTTCAGCACCCTGAGGTTCGCCAGTTCGGATCCTGGGCGCAGACCTACACACTGCTTATCAAACCATGCTGTGGCAGTGTCCCACATATGAGATAGAGGAAGATAGGCACAGATGTTAGCTCAGGGCTAGTCTTCCTCAGCAAAAAGAAAAGAGTAGTGATCTCGGTCCTTAGGATGGGTCTTTGTGGACCCAAGGAGTGACTGAAGGACACACACTCCTCTGCCCAGGAGGCTGGAGGAAAAAGGGGAGAAAGAAAGGATGATCAGGGCCCCTCAGAACCACCTTACGGATGCAGACCTTTCTGCTGAGGGTCAGGTCAGTTTGTGCCAGGCCCACGAAACAACAGCTCAGACCCTCTGTTGGTGGAGGTCCAGCCGAGGAGATTTTGCTTTGGCATATGTTTTCTTTAACCGATGTATTACAAATGTTTTAAACCCAACAGCCATAAGCAGGAAACTGCTGAATTTTCCCCACCACGGACACCTTGAAAACATATGCTGCTCAATCTCCTCTCCTTGTCCCCTTCTGTAGAATGGCCATTTTCAGGTAAAAAAACCCCAACAAAACAAATCTTATTTTGATAATTAAGACTCTTCAAGTGTTAAAAGGCCCAATAGAGTGTAAATCAAGACTTCTCCCGTTGCTGTAGCCGAGGCCTGACCCTCGGCTGGGGGTCCCGGAATGGGGAAGGAGGGGTTGATGATGGTCTGTTTGTTCCCGATTTTCCTCACTCCCTCCGTCTCCTCGATCGGCTGTGCAGCAATAAAACATGGTTTACCAGTCCTCGTTCACGTTACAAGTATACATGGGGCGCTTCCTAGGTGGCTGGCCTTGCACTGAGCCCTGGAGACACGGCAGTTAGAAGGACATGATCTCTGCTCACACAGAGCTCCCAGTCTACGGGGCTGATCTGGCAAATCCACACGGTGGGGTTGTAAGTGCTTGGATGGTATATGCACAGGGGCCCAGAGGTCATAGGAGGCCATACTGCCTGGACTTTAACAAGGCGGGGGGGGGGGGCGCGGGTAGAGTCAAAGAGGACTTCCTGGAGGAAGTAGCATCTACAGGGAGGTCTGTAGGATGAATCCCTGCCAGCCAGGAAAATGGGGATGGAGTGGGTGATGGTTTCAGGCAGATGAATCCTGACTTGAGTAAGAGCCAGAGGCAAGAAGGAGCCTGAGTGGCCTGGCATGACTAGAGAGGACTTTGCCAGCAGGAAGTGCTGGTTCTGAGGCTGGATTAGGGGACAGATCATGGTGGGTTTCACAACCAGCCCACGAGTACGTGATGCTGTCATCCTTTTACAGCCAAGGCCAAGGAGCTCAAGGGGTTAAGTGACTTGCTCCAAATCACACAGTGCAGGTGGCAGACCCGAGACTGGACCTCCTATCGGCCTCACCCCGAGGACAGACACCCCTAATCTATTCCTTTGGGTCTTTTTCATTTGGGGAAAAGTTTAATTAAAATTTGTACCGACATAAATAATACGTCTGTCTCCAAAAGGCCCTTCTGCTCCATTTTGACCCATAAAATTGCCTCCTCTCAGGATTAAACAAACTGAAATTTATTAAAGAATATTCCTTACCGATCCTGATGGAGGCAGCAAATCCTCAAGAACTCGGCCTAGAGTTGCTGTGAGCAGAAGCTGGGGAGAGCCAGGCCACGTCTGTATTCCAAGGAAGAGGGCCCAGAGAGAAAAATGCCCAGCAGTGTCTTTCAGAAAATTTTTAAGAGGACTAGACTGTTCATGACCTTGGTTGATTAGGGTCAGGAACTCAACATGATAATGCTGAGTGTACCAGAAAAATCTCTGCTCGCTCCCTGCGCATTGCTGCTGACCAGGCTTCTCCAGCTCTAACTTGGCTTTAGGCCTCCGGAAAGGCAAGTTGGTTTGAAGGTTGCTTTTTTTCCCTCCCTCTCTTCCAAGTTGGGGTCAAAATTCAGCATAATTGTGGCATTTAACCACTGATAAGTGAAAACTAAAGCTCACTGACAACAACGAGTGTTGTCAAAGCTCAGGAGAGCTCACTGTACCTGCATCTGGATGGCTGCCTTCTTGGCCGAACATATGATGACACTTTCCATTTCATCACAGGGCCTTGGACCTCACTCACTCTGCGTCTCCCTCCCTGGGGCATTGCAGATCCTGGCTTGTCTTGGACAAAACTGAGAAACAGGCAAAGAATGCCTTTGGAGCTGTCAAGCTTCTTTTTCTTCCTCTCCCAGTGGGGCTCCACACCCTGTGGCTCAGGTGCCCAGCACCACATTATTTCTCTGTTCTCTTCCATCAAAATGATGACTAGGAAAGAACCCCAAACTTCTCACTGGAAGAGAGGAAGGCGTGATGATGATGATGATAATAGCTTACACTTAGATGGTGCATGCTGTGCGTAAGACACGGGGTACTCAGACTTTCATGTGCATTGACTCAATGAGTTTCCCCAATAATTCTAGGCACCAGAGAATATCATTATACCTCTGTGTTACAGAGAGGTTGGTTTACTTACCCAAGGTCCTATTGTTAGAACATGGCAGTCATGATTTGAACCCAGGAAGTCTGGTTTTGTCCATGTGCTTAGCCATTATATTAGAAGAATGGGAATGATTCATCGACCAAGAATTGGTGGGACTGTGTTTGATATTGTAATGCATTATTTTATTTAATGCTGCTAAGTGGCTTTTGATATAAGGTTTTATAACCCCAATGTACAAAAAGGAAGACAGAGAGGGTAAGTGACTTGCCGAGGTTTCATAACTAGTAAGTGGTGGAGCAGGAATTGGAGGCATGGTCTGAATGGTGGCAATTCCATGTGCACCAGAGCATCCCAGGATCCAGGTCATCAATCACGGGGCAAGTGCCAGTCTCTTCAGATTCCGTACTTTAAATTGTATCAGAGTATTACGTTAGACAATTGGAGCTTTGATTGCTTGGGGTGGTAATTTGGGTAGCAGCTGGTGGGCAGGGGAAACACTTTATCTGGGAGATGGGCGAGGGGCACTGAGAGTTTCTTGGATATAGAAGTTACACTTTGTAGGCTGGTGACCCTTGGCCATCCCAGCATGCCAGCCTCATGCAGGAGTTTTTCCCCTTCCATTCTAGCCTCTGTATTTGACTGTCTTCATCTCAACAATCCACAGCCCCCCTGATGTGGCCATGTCTGAACTAAACTCACCTTCCTTATATTCCCATCAGGTTTAACAGTGTCACCTGAGCCAGAAACGCCCCTTCTCGTCCCCCTGCCACAGTGAATCAGTCCTGAGTTCTGCAGATCCCGACGCTGCTGGTCTACTGTCTTATGCCTCGCCTCCACCCTGTCTCTATGGGGTCCTTCATCACCATTCACCTACATGACCGTCCTTGTCTCTCAAGTGACTTCCTTGCTCCCAGCTTCTCTCTCCTCTAACGGACCATCCCCGCTGCCCCTGCATCACTGCTCCGCGATGGAAATCTGACCATGTCACTTCTGTGCTCAAAATCTGTCAGTGGTGGGCCCCAGCACTGCGTGGTATGTCCTCAAACTTCAGACTGTGGTTTTCAGAAATGTACTCTTAGGGCTGATGGGGTCTCATGGACGTGTTTTAAAAGTGCTTTTTAAACTTTAAGGACAGTTTAAAATTTAAGTAGATGTGTCTTCTGGGTCATTTGATGGCCAGTTGTAACCTGGAGGCAAGTGGCCTGATTTTATTGTCCTAGGTATTGGGAAAAAAAACAGAGACAAACTGGACACACAGACAAGGGGAGTGACGGCCACACGGCATCCCCATGGTATTCTTCGGTGGCAGTTCCATGCCAGTTTGGCTGGAAAGAAGGAGGAGGAGAGTTCAGTCGTCACTCAGCACGTGGTCACATGGGAGCGCTGAATTTGAGTGATGCGCATGCTCGTGGTCTGGGCTCTATTCACAGTCCGGGAGTTGTTTGGTTTTAAACAACAGCAATTCTTGCATTAAGTGAATTTTGTTAATTTGCATTGTATTGAGTTTTACTTTGTAAATGTGTTTTGGTTTTATTATTGTCTAAGGGTCATAAACATTGGGAAGCTATACCTGGTTTATGTTTGTATATATTTAAATAATATTGTAATAAAAATAAGTTGTCAATACTAAGAATATTTAATGCATTCTTTCTTTTAATCTTGAGCCACACAGCTTTCCACACCCAAGGGCGGGAAATACGCCTCAGAGCAGCGCACGAGTCCCTTCAAACCTTGTCCCTGCAGCCTCCGGCCTCCCTCCCGAGCCTCCCCGCACCTGCTCCTTCTCGCTTGACTAGAGCTCCTTGACCGTGGGGACTATTTCTTATTCATGGCTGTACCTACATGCCTGACAGCAAATGAATATTTGCACAACAAACGAATGAAGGAATGAATGAGCAAACATGTGATGGAAGGCAAGAGAAAGCAGGAAGGCTGTTCCACAGACCTCGTGGCCACCTCCTAACGTTACTTTAAATAATAAGGCTCCTTGTTTGACTCCAGGCTGGGACACCTTCCAGCCTCTCCCGGAAGCCACAGTTTTAAAATTCAGCCACAATTTTATTGCTAAGTCATTTACAGGCAGGGAAAGAGAGAGGGGAAGAGAAAGGGGGAGGAGAGGGAGAGAGGGGGAGCGGAGAGGGGGAGGGGGAGAGGGGAGGGGGAGAGGGGAAGGGGGAGAGGAGGAGGGGGAGATGGGGAGGCGGAAGGAGAGGGAGACGCCCACAGGGGAAGGTCAGATGCCACCTGCATCCCTAGGGAAGGAGCCATCTCCCCACCGCCTTTTCAGCTTGGACATTCTCAGAGGATCAAAGAGAGACAGTTCACATTGCCACTAGTCCCACAGCACGTCAACTGCTACCCGCCCACCCCTTTTAGCTTCCAAAAGAAGAATGATGCGTTTAAACAGACTTTCATGTGTCCTTTATTTTCAGTCCAGGAAATACTTGCTTTAAATGTTCGTGTGTGGGACTGTGAGTTCAGATCGGCTGATGCGGGGTCAGGGGCAGAGGACAGGCTGCACTGGGCGTAAGTGACCCAGCAGACACAGCTGTAGAGCTTCCCGCGGGGACCCCACTGGTTCCAGAATTCTCTGTTCATAGTCAGGGGGTGACAATGGCCTCGAGGGGTCTCTGCTCTGACCCCTCTCCTAGGGAGGAGTCGGGAGGACTGAGTAGCCAGCCTCATCCTCTAAGACAGAACTTTGTTCTTTTCTTCTTTCCCTCCTTTTTCCCTTGCCCCATTCCATAGCTGCCTCGTGTCCCGGGCACTACACTAAACCTATCTGGCCATGGATCCTGATCAGACACAACAAAATTATAAAATAAGTTCTTCTTGTATCTGCATAAAGCTTTACATAGAGACAACTGGGTTGTGACAAAAGAAATGTCAGCCTTGGTTCTTTCGCTGGAAATCTGCTTTTTGGCATGGCATTTAGAGACGAGGAGACCTGGGTCCTCCCAGCCCTGTGACCTGGAGCAAGTCATTCACCTCTTTTCACCTTAGATTCTTCCTCTATAAAATGGTGATGGAAAAATACCTGCTCTTTATTACATGAAGTGCAGTGATGAGGGTTAGAATGACACTGAGATGCTCTATTCAAAGAGCTTTGTCAGCTGTACACAGCACTAAACAACTGTGTGGGGGGGACTGTTCTTGGGGTGATTCCCCCTCCTCTCATAGAGCATGGCACCCTCCCAGAAATGAAAGGAATGATACAAACAAAGCATTGGCTTCCTGCTGTTCAGCAGCCATGGTGGACACCCTCAATCTGTCTACCAGACAGAGATACTCAGAGAGAAGCAGGCTGGAGCGCGCGCGCCCGGACAGAGGCAGCCGCTGCTGGGAGGACCGGTCTGCAGGGCGTGCACCATGGGTGGAGGGGCCGAGAGTGGAGGGCCCACTTTTGTTTGGTGCTCTGAGCTGCATGGACAGATGGGCAACAACAAACACAGCTGTCTAAGCTTGCTGGTGTCTGCTGCCTGAGCACCTTCCGTGCACAGCAGTCCTTCCAAGGTGTTGAAGAAATTCCCAGA